GCGGATGGACCGTACCGCATTCCTCTGAAGCGCCTAAATGAATTCGAGGGGGACGCTCACCACGATCACTTACACCCATCACCGCAGACGTTTTCTGACTACATAGATTTTATCCCTATTGAGAATGTTTATGGTTTAGATTCATACGGCACTATTTATGTGGGCACCCCCGCGAAGGAGTTCAAAGTCTTATTTGACACCGGCAGCACCAACATGTGGCTTCCCACTGAAAAAACGAATATGTGCGGCTCAAAGCAATGCTACAGTTCACAGAAGAGCTTCACTGCAACTCTCAACTGGGGTTTGTATTTTGAGAAATACATTCATGGCCCAGTAACGGGTGTTTTCGTAAAGGACACGGTCCGCCTTGGTTCGTTCACCACCGAACAGATCTTTGCAGAGGTGAATGATGTTTCTGGGTTAGGCGAAATGTATGTTGAGGCAGAGTGGGATGGTGTCATTGGGATGGGATGGCCTTCCGTTTTCGGATTCGCTATTAGGCCAACGATATTTTCTCTCTTTAACAGTTATGAAAATATTCCAAACCAGTTCGCTTTTTATTTGCCCAAGAATCCCGATATAAAAGGTGAGCTTGTACTCGGTGGGTATGATCCTAACCATTTTTACGATGACCTCATTACTGAAAGGGTAACATCCACTACCCGCTGGACGGTCGTCATTTTTTCAGTGAATATTGGCTATACGGTTCTTAACTGCATGGTTACAGCTGTTATAGATTCGGGTTCCACATTTTTCAATGTACCGAAGGCAGCTTTTGAAAAAATTGTTCATGAAACTGGCACGAAAATGAATCAAGGAGGGTATATAATTGACTGCATGAGGGTGCCTTTTCTCCCAAATATTGAGTTGGAAATTGGTGGTTCAATATGGATTTTCACTGGTGAAGACTACACAATTAACATGGGAAATAAAATATGCATCCTTGCAATATCCCCTCTGGAATCTGATCTTGTTGATAAAACAACCTGGATTCTAGGAGAGATTTTTCTCAAACATATCTACACCGTTTTTGACGCAGATAAGTCCACAGTAAGTTTTGCTTATGCTAAATAGCTGAGCGAACAATAAATATAATATATAAATATCGAGGAGGGGAAGCAGAAACAAACACTATACACACCAAAATTATGCTAATATTTTAATATTTATCTCATGTCATGTTGTAATCTTATAAAGTGATTTAAGAGGTGATATGATGCTTTTTAGCTTTTTAATTCTGCATACATATTAAATTCAATATCTATATATATACACATAGATATGTATGCTTCCGACATTTGGAAAAGGGTAAAAATAAATTATATGCATAGAAGAGTATTTGAAAAAAGTAATATTTCAGAATTTTATATTTCAATAAGGATGAATTTGTATGTCAAGGTGAAAATATTTTATCAATAAAATCATAAAACAATATAAGTAAGGTTGTAGAAAAAAACATACCTAAGTGGTGCTCTACACTACGTGA